TGTATACTATATGCCAGGGATGGCAAATCCAGGACATGCGTGCCCGAAGTGGCATAAGAAGAGATTTCGAGGGATATCGATAAATCAAATTATTTTTTCTAGAATAAACTTTATACATTATATTATGTAATATTATAAAAATAATATATATTTATATTTATTTACTATAAATTATGATCATGGCAATATTTAATATACATAATACATATATGTATATTATCTTTTATTAGGTAATTTCTGAACGGTTTTGTTTGTAAAATAGCATGCATATATTATCATAATGATTAAATAATAATTATCAAAAAAATATAAATGTATCTTGAAATCAGACCAGGTATTTATTTCGTCAGGCAGTCGACACTTCGACAGCCTTCCTTTTGTTCGTAGTAGTTATCAGTTATTATTTACTATGCAGTATCCACGATCTACGTCAAATCAATATAATGCATTTTATAAGTGTACATTATTGTTACGATCTACTAATTATTTAAATTTAGCATAAAATGTTAATTAAATGTTAACTAAATATTAATTAAGAGACAACTATATAATACGAATATATCGTACTTTTTTAATAAATGAATCGAGATGACGTCAATGGTAATATTATGTAGTCTTAGAAATATTTTGGTAGTCGACATAACACAGTTGTACACCCAAGGCAGTCGAGATAAAACGGAAGTACCTACCCAAAAATGTATGAATATTCGGATATTCTGTTCTTCTAGTGTGCTATTGTAATTACTTTTGTGAATAGATACCCACATTAATTGCTTTACTATATATTACATAAAAATAACTAACTATACAAATATATATATAGTCAATCATACACGCTGATGGACATACATGTTAATTATTATTTAAATATAAACCAATATAGGTTATATTTATACACTATAAGAGTCAGGTGCCTATTTAGACTGTCAATATTGTGTACTCTCGGTTAATACTATTTAACTACATTTAATTACTAACTTCCTATTAACCTATTACTTTTTATATTACTATACTATGAAAACATATACATTCATGCATAAGCATAAGTTATAACCCAGTAATGCCGTGCCATTAACTATGTACAAATTACAATAACTAATAATTTAAATATCAAATATAATATATGCGATATTATAATTTGTAAGACTTTAAATAAAAGGTAGATTCACATAATAAAAAGTCAACTTCTGTAATATTAACCAATATAATGTGCATAACATTACCTATAATACTTACTATTACTATTGTTGTTGATAATAGATTGTACTATAAAAATTTCAATAATAAAACAGCCAACTAATTTCCACATAGACTTTCTATACAGACAAATACTTGCGTTAGTGTTATATTATATATTAATTGCATAAATAAATTCTCAATCAATTCTTATTTTATAGACTAGAGTTAACTATTTCAATTGTCATGTCAGTTTTTTAATATTTGTATCCAGTAGTGTTGGGTATTATAATTTATGAGTAGACACACCTAATTAATTTTTATCGGCGCCAGTGTCGCAGTGCAACATAGACCATATTTTAATCATGAAGATTGAAAAAAATCAAATCTTTTTTATGTGCATTATTAAACAAATATTAAGTGCTAGATTAATAAGTTAATAACGTACACCTTAATATTAGTAATTTAATGTAAAATACAATAAAACATATTGAACCATATGAAAAATGTGTTACCTTGTTAATTTACCATTTACCCATTTATTGAAAATCTATGTAGAAGGAATTTTGTGTACCATATATTTTCTGGTCACAAAAATATTGGAATCTACAAAGTAGTCTTTGCAGATTGTTAGAGAAGATGGAGGATGTTCGGTGAACGACCAGTCGACGATAAAAATTTTGGAATGCCCCTAAGTTGACGGTATATAGGCAACTTAATGTGCTCCTTGGTGCTCAGTGCATAGGCAACCTAATGTACTCCTATAGGTTAAGTGCATAGGCAATTTAATATGCCCGTGAAGAACCCTCGCGGCGGCGGCGCCAGACAATATGAGGAACGAATGGAAGGAGGTGGTACAACGGAGTCAGGGATGGTACAGTTTAATTATGGGGCCGCGGTCCCTGTGTTCTGATCGGTCTTTTGCAATGACCATCGGGCGCAATTACAATTCAGGCTGAACTTAAAATTACTGTAAACCACGGCAGGTGAAAGTCCGGTCCGGTGAGCAATGCAATCCGACGACCTGGAGCGGCCACTCACACAACGCACTGGGTTGCTGGCGGACTTACGCGCTTGACTGAGGCACCAGGGGGCCAATTCTTGAAATTATGCGACTAATTCTCACATGCGATAAAAGTCACAGATTTTATCGAAGGTGACTAATTTTAATCGCATGCGACTTAAAATTGGTATTCTTGAACTAAATCGATAAGATTTTATCACTTGTCGTATGCGATAAAGTATTCCGAATGAACCACTGTGGTAACAACACAAAATCTAGATTTTAACCTCAAATAATCCGGAATTCTACATAATATTTACTAGTTCTAGATAAGAAGTACTAGATAGTACTAGATAGTACTAGACTAGTCTCTAAACAGTCTAAACCGTGATTAACTTTACAACCTTACAGTTAAGTATTTGTTATATTTTTTTTTTGTTTATTTTGTTATAAGTACCATACTACCATTTTTAATATTATAATGTCTAAAGACACTAAAGTGAGACCAACTCAAACCCAGATGAAGTATTTGGTTGATCTAATAGCCAATGATCAACAATTGTGTTCGGGCAAGTTTACTAAAAGTTTTACACATAAAATTGCTCAACAAAGATGGGAAAGCATCTCTATTCAATTAAATGCATTACCAGGTGCGGAGAAGAGTTGGAATAAGTGGAAGAAAGTAAGTTAATTTGTTTGGTGGAGATATTAATTTTATAAGTATTTATAATTATTTTTTTCTGAACTAAAAATCTCTGCTCTGCTAAAAATGAGTAAAAATACTGTAACCAAACTTAAATCTTGTATTAAAAGAAATTAAGGGCCACTACATACTATCTTAAATGTTGTTATCTATCTTAAAAAACTCTTAATGAGTTATCTTACATGTTTAAATAAATATTATTTGAAGTTGAGACTCCAAACTAATTTAAGTTGATTAGGTATTACATTTTTAGTAGAGTAATAGCCTATAAATTAATCTTTTTAATTTTTAAAAAGTAGTTATCTTTAAATTAATTGTATTGTAATAATTAAGACATGGCAAGATACTAGAAACATAACAAAATCTAAAGCGGCAGCTATTAAAAGGCACATAGGAGGTACAGGTGGTGGATCAAAATGCGAAATTGAACTAAATGAAGTTCAAAAGGAAATTTTACCTTTATTTAGCCAAGCATCTGTTAGCGGTCACTTTAATTCTGAAGAGTCAGTGGTTGAGTTTGACTTTGATGATACAACTAAAGATGTGTTAACTGGTAAATTTATATATATTTCATTTATTCTAGTAATATTCAATCGTACATAAATAATTACACAGTATAGTCTTTGAATTAAATATATTTTTATTTGTATAAGTCCTACCAATTCATGTTTTATTGTATGTATTTCACATTTTGTTAAGTAATGTTCAACTATAGTATTATATTGTTTTTAGATGCTAATGAATTATGTATTGAAGAGTTGGTAGAGACAATCACTTACAGTAATTCTGAGAAAGAAAATAATGAACCCCCATTAAACATTAAAGCTGTGAATGAAAATTATTACGAGCCTTCAACTTTTGAACCATTAACAACAACTACAAGTGCTCATAAACCAAGTAAAAACTTCCAAATAAGTTAAAAAAAAAAAAAATTATTTTTTTATTATTTTTTAATTTATTTAATTAATTTATTAATTTATTTATTTTTAATGATAAATTATATGACTGATTAATTTTTTTTACCAAAGATTGGCTACTTAAATTACTTTTTTTATTTTGTTTTTAGTTATTTAGTTAATAAGTTATACATGTTATTATATTTACTAAAAGGTTACATTTTTATTTTATACTTTATATTTACAAGGATATGTTACACATTTTATTTTAATTTGTTTTTTAATAATAAAAATTATTACTTATTTATGTGTTGTTAGGTTGTCTTATGATTTAAGAGAGTTGAAAAAATGCATATAATGTAATTAGTTATATAACATTTCTATGTGATAAATATCTGATTACTCTATTTCTCTGTTGTCTTCCCAGTGTTAAATCTATGTTTCGGTTAAAATCAGCCAAGATGTCTTGATCTTCCACCATACCCAAATTATCAAGATCTTCAATATTAGGACCATCAGGCATAGGAACATTATTTGTGATACACATATTGTGCAGTACTACACATGCATTTATAATGGAAGATGCTTTTTCGGGCTTATAATGCAGTGTCCTATCTCTTAATAAGCACCTAAAAATAAATATATAAATGTTTATTGTTAAAATATCATTACAAAAAAAAAAAAAAGTTGAAAAAAAATCCTACCTAAATCGCATTTTTAGCACTCCATTACAGCGTTCAATTATACTCCTAGTTGACATTTGTCTTCTATTATAATTTTCTTCAGCTTCAGTGCAATTATATTTTCCAATCAAAATTTTAATAAAATTGGATGATAATTTAATAGTTAACATTTAAATCTAATACAACATATTACCAATTGGACATTGATTGAATGATATCCCTTACGGTTAACATATATGTATTCGGGATGTTGATTTTCATTTAAATTTAAATTTGTTGAAGGGGGTGTGATTGCCACATGTGTACAATCAATACACCCAACAACACCAGGAAATCCAGTATTCCTGTAGAAACTAAATGATATATAATTTAAAAACATGCCAAACAATTTTTTTTTTAAATTTAAAACTTACCCATTACGGATATCATTGAGTTCATTTATATTTTTTGGAAACTTAACCCAAGCATTAAATATTTCGGGCAGGTTTAATGCAGTCACAACTTCACTGATACAGCGGGATACAGAAGGTTGGGATAGACCCATAAATCTACTGTTACCAATAGGCGATTGGTAAGAGCCCGTAGCCAAAAAATTTAAAGTTACAAAAATATATGAAAATTAAAAATAGGTAAACCATAATTGATTAATAATATACAGTATAGTAGGTAGTATAAAAAATTACCTATATAAAAAAATTAAATAAAATTCCCATTATAATAATATAATGACTAGGAAATGGATTTGAACATAAGCGTGCGCACGGGGTAGTCATGGTAGGCACTTGACTACTCTGCGAACTCCTTTGGCCCCCTTCAATATTCAATATTATTATTATGATAATTGATAGTCAATCATAAAATACTGTTTCACTATGGTAAATGTAGTTAAATGAGGTTACCCCATCAAAATTAGTTTTTGTAACTTAGGTGTGAATATGAATATTATATATACATAATATGTGTGTGTGTGTTAATGTGTTATGTACTTATGTATACTTATGTATGACTACCCTGCCAGAAATTCTGCGCATGCTTATGGATTTGAATACTCTAAAAAACAAGAAAAATACCTTAAAAGTACGATTTAAGTTACATTTTTTAATTCATTGATGTATGAAATTAACTTTGTGCTTGGAATGTTTGGCAATGTTTTTGGACATAAAGAAAAAATGTAATTGCATTCAAATCCGTTCCCTATCAATGGCTATGCCTTACTTTAGTATTCAGATCAATCGCAGATGAACGGAAAGAATTTGATAAATGGGGACTTAATAGGATAATTAAATCTTTTACAACATCTTTAGTGAGTCGAAAGTTTTTTATGAATAACCGATCGGTTAATTTAAATGGATCCGTAATCATTTCCTTATTTCGTGTTTGTCTTTCATGATGCGCATTATTGAAATTATTTTGATGTTCTTCGACGTTATTAACAGCAAACAACATTGCCATTTCCTCAAAATTGGCCATTATAATTATAATATTAAAGAAAATGGGAAAAAACAAGTAATAACAAAACAGTCCACAAATTTGATGACGCGGGACGCTGTAAATGCGGCAATGTACCTATGCAAAATTGTATTGATATTTATTTATTTAATGTGGACCACAAGTCACAATACAACATTATATAAATTTAAGTTGTTAATTGTTATCAAATTAAAATTATTAAATGATTATTGGTATGACATATATTTATAAATTATCATGCGATATAGTCTTGTCACCGAGTTTTACCCAGTCGACTAATAGTCGAATGTTTTTCGTTCGATTACAGTCATACCTTTTTTCAAGAATACCAAATATTTATTTTCATGCGATAAAATGTTTATCGCATGCGACAAAGTTTATCACGATTTCAAGAATTGGCCCCCAGTCCCGAACTCGGGCAAGGAATCGGATTCTCCACGAAGGCTGGCAGGAATGACGTGATTATATATCGGTGTACTCACTCGATCGACTGCGGTTGACAATGACAAGCACGAAATGTGCCAAGACGTCGGAGTTGGACGTTGACGCAATGGCGTGAATAAAGATTTTATTGGTTTTAATTAACGGTACAGAGGAAAATATAACGTCTCGTATATTTAATATACGACGAGACGAGCGAACAACAGGTACGACAATATGATCCGAATGATACGGCAATAACAACAAGTGGAATTTATATTTTTAACAACGATATCAATTGTACATAATAATTAATTTACATAATGATAATAGGAAGAAATAATAGATAGGAATAATAATTATAATGGCGCATTCACGGAGAGGAAAACAGATAACACCGATTTCTGCACGGGCAAGCGGAGCTTGCGGGGATTCAGTCGTGGACCTTTGATCGCTGCGACGCGGACGATAATATCATTACGATGTGTCGTAACACAGATACATATATTTGTTATTTATATCACAGGGCCACGAATGTTACATAGAAAAAATGTATTAATGTATACAAATTATTATTTCAACGAAAATAATAATATCTTATAATATTTAATAATACAAATTAATTGCACATGATAGAAACTTAAGTATAACTGTGTGTGTATATATTATAATACTGTAGTTGTATTAAAATAGTAATTTTGCAAGAGCAGAACTATTGGATGCAAACATATTAATTACAGTTCTAACATCAATATGTACATCTAGCTCGCATGAAATTATCATTAACGCATCAAGTCTTTCTTCATTCATCGTCGAACGTAAGCGATTTTTAATTAGTTTAAGCTTTTGTGGTGATCGCTGTGCAGGACACGACGATCGGTACCACAATAATTAATTAAACGATGTAGCACGTTCGTCGCTGTCTTGAGACGTATGTTGAGAAGATAGGTATTGAAATTAATAAAACACTTAGACCCGTTTAGTCAAATAAAGTGAAACAATTTATTAATTATAATTTATAAACATAAAAAATTTCTAAGCACACTGTCATAAGCGCGTCACGCTATCAAGCAGTGCTGACTATCTTCTAACATTTGGTAGGTGCTCCACCCGTATTTATGCAGGTTCTAACAATGACGTATTATGGCGTGATATATTAATATTCTAATTTTACACCCTCATAATGCTGAATAACATTATTATGTATAATAGGTAAAAACAACTTGTTTTCACCTTTAATCTCTGTTTCTTGTTATTTAGGCTTTTTCGAACATACATATTTATACCAACCTATCTATCATAAATTATACCTCGTGTTTAATTTATTATTATGATTTCTACGTAATATATTTTAATAATTGTTACAGAATAATAAATAATAATATACTACTCTTTTGGGTTTACTACACTTTGAAAATGCGCGTTCTGGGGTGTCACTAGATACTGGCAATGCCACAGCTATGCTTAAAGCAGTATATATGTGAGGAAAGATTTCTTTTAAACCAAATGACCAACATATTTTGAAAATGTTTTCTATTGATTCACAATTTTCTTTCTTTTTATTTTGACTTGCTGTATAATAATATGTATTAGGCTCTTCCTCATTTTCTTCAACCTCCTCTTCGTATTCACTTAAAAATGCATTTTACTTTTTTGTACATTTTTTAAAAGAAAAATTTTTTTTTTAGTAAAGATTTTTGTCCTTGTACAGTTGAAACTACTACCTAGTCAGAGGTAGTACAATATAAATTATAATCATAAACTAAATATATAAATCTCCAAAAACTGTAAAATTTATATTATAAAAATAAATTTAAAAAAACATCATGATAATTAATATCTTAAAAATTTTTTCATTAAATTCAATAATCCTGCATTTTTTGGTCACATTGAGACTCGAGCACTTGAACCTGAATTAGTAAATTATATTCTAAAAATGGGACCATCTCAGCCATCAGATATTAATATGCCAAATAAGAAATTTCCTGAAAATCAAAGTTCAGGCAGGCGTTTCCATGAATCCTGGTATTGGAGAAAGTTATCTAGTGGCGAGAGAACACGTAGAAAATGGTTATCTTACTCTATAACTGAAAACAAATCATATTGTCTTTATTGTGCATTATTTGGTCGTGGATTTAAAGAAAATTGGTCAAAAATTGGATTTTGTAATTTTAGAAAAGGAACATTTAGTATTGCTGTACATGAAACATCTGAACCATATATTTTGGCTTCAATAAAAGTTGCTTACAGAGAAGCTGCATTTCCAATCATACTGTCATTAAAGGAGGCAGCTGTTGCAAACGTTTAAAGTAGTCAAACATTTAATTGATGTAACATTGTTTTTAGGACGTCATACTTTGCCTTTTCATGGGCATAAAGAAGGCTGAGACGAAAGTAATGAAGGAAACTTTAAGGATCTGGTGTTACTGTTAGCAAAGTATTCAAGTATTCAGGAACAGTTATCTTTAGTGATTCGGTACATAAATCAAGATGGTGGAAATGTGTGTGAAAGGTTAATTGCAGTACGTGAAACTGTTCTAATTTCTTGATAACATTTGTTTACAAAGTTTGATGATATATGTTCAGGAATGAATTTGAATTGGAAAACCAATCTGATTGGACAGTCTTATGATGGCGCAGCATCTATGCGAGGCTCTTATAACGGTCTTCAGGCTTTGATAAAACAACAAAACCTGAGTGCCACATATGTTTGGTGTTGGGCTCATCGTTTTAATTTAGTTATCGTGGATGCGGTTAGTTGTTGCTTGAGATCTTTTTGGAAATTTAGAAATATTATACAGTTTTATGGGAAGCAGTAAGAAACGTACACATTGCTTCACTAAATATCAGAAATTGAGATACCCAGGAAAACTTTTACGTAGGCTTAAATGAGTTGAAACTACACGTTGGTGATCTCTTTCAAGTGTTCTCATGACTGTTTTTTGTCCTTATGAAGCTATAGTTGATGCTTTAGATGAACTAAAAAATGACTTGGATAGAGTATCAAGTGTGCAGGTTGAAGGCTTAATTAATTTTTGTTTCAAGAACGGTTTTTGCTGACTGCCCTATGCTTTAAAAATATTTTTGACACCACATGTATTCTCAGTAAATGTCTTCAAACAGTAGACATTGATTTATTGGCTGCTATAAATTATATGCAAAATTGTCTTGCTAAAATTAAAAAGTTCCGATATGATGAAGAATTCAACAAACAAAAATTTCATCGAATCTAAAGAAGATATAACATTTATTTCTTTACCATCAAAACGTCTGCGCCGTGCAAAAATTAGAGCTGTAGAAATATCCTCTGATGAGCCAATTATTGACACCATCCAAAATTTTAAAGTTAATGTCTATTTTACAATCATAGATATTGTATTAACATAAGTATCAGATTGATTTAACGACCATTCAGTACCTTTATTTAAAGATTTGGCTCTGTTTTCGCACAAAAGACTTAAAGAAGTAGCTAAGACATCTTATATCTCGGATGATGCTTTTAAAGCATTTTGTGATGTTTACAGTAAGTTTGTTGAATTGAATACACTACGAAAAGAATAAATTCAGTTTGCTAGTTATTATACTCAGTTTGAAAAACATAATTTTACCACAAAAACTGCATTTTTACTACCAAAAAATGCAGGATCATTGCCAAGATCACAATATCCTATAAAAACAAAATAAGATTATTGAATTTAATAAAAAAATTTTTAAGATATTAATTATCATGATGTTTTTCAAAATTAATTTATATAATATAAATTCTGTAGAAAAAACAAAAAAATGTTATATTTAATAATTAATAATGTTTGTAATAATTTAATTAAATATTTGGATAATATATTCTTTATTGATTTATATATATTGCATGCGGTCATGCGGTTGTCATAGATAATAAAGAAATGGATAGGCCATCAGATTCTTATCGGTGTTCCAAGACTGATAACAAAGTGAGGCGATTTTTTTTTTATAAAAATATTAATCATTATTATAAGCTAAAATGAATTAATTATTAAACCTAATTATTTTGAATTAAAGTACAATTTAAAAATTAATTTTATAATAAAAACAAAATAGGTATTTAATATTATTATTTATTTATTATATCATAATATCACAGAATATAATATGTTCACTGATTAATACCTCATTGCCAGTCATTGGTTTTTGAAAAGTATCAGTTTGGTATACTTTGATCTTATTTTGGTTTGGTCATTTCGTTTTCTTATTTCATGGAACATCCTTATGTCTAAATATTTCTGAATTACTAACTTAGTTAACTGATCTTTATGTGTATCAACAATAGAATGATTATCATCACAGCCACTTAATTGGAAACTTATCTTGTATTGATATAAATTCATTTTAACTTGAGTAGTTAAAAACAAAACTGACTGTTTGTAATTTTTAACATTATAATAGCTTCTAAAAACTCTCTCCGTTTCCAAGCATATTTTCATAACAGTATCACTGGGCTTATACAATCCTCCTCGGTCCTTTTGACTAAGCAACTTCCGACTTCTATTTGAACTACTATCAGATGTATTTATATACAAAATTTTTTTACAGTTTTCGCAGTTAATTTTTTTTTCAATTGCTCTACTCACAAAACCAGCTACATAATAGCTTACATTTTCAATAAATA